GTCCTCTAATCCCAATAGCATCACTGCAGAGCTGCCCTAGCTGGATCCTGCAGATCAGGTAGAAGGAGCTCTGTCTTAAACCTAGGTCTGCTCCCCAGCAGGTTCCAAATTCCAGGGTACGCAGGGCCAGTTCTGAAAATCAGCTAATTGTTGGACCTGATCAGTCCCAGGGCCAGTTCAAGACCCCTAGCTGTCTGCAGCTGTATCTGGCAATCAGACCTAGTCTGGTTGTCAGACTGGTCTCAAGCAGCTGGGAGAGATCTGGCTTGGGGCTGAGTCCAACAACCTGTTGATTATCAGCCAGCCTTGGGGCAGCCCTAGAACTATCCACCTGTATGCACATTTTTTAAAAATCCCAGAACTCTGGGACCTGTTGGCCTCTCCCCCATCCCAGGATCCTCACACCCTAGGATTTCTAAAAACCACATGTTTAGCCTGGCTCCCCACAACTCAGCCCTTTAAAGTGCCTCACCCTGCAGTCCCCAGTGGGGGCTGCAGCACAAGGGAAGAAAGATTGCTGGGCTCAAGGGTTGCCAAGGTCCTGGCAGGGGGAGCCCCTTAACTCCCCACAGGGAACCTTGAAACCTGCTCCCCCAGCAGCCCGTTTGTGGCATTTGGACAAGGTATGACAACCAGTTTGTTGTCAGAGTCAGCGGATAGATAGATGGCTGATGAAGTGAGGGAGGGAGCAGTACATCTTGGGATGCCAGGGGTCCTAGCAAAGACCTGGCACCCAACGTGTGATATATACAACATGTTTGAATTAAAGCTGGATAGAAACCAGCTACAAAAATATTGCACACGTTTGAAGCAATGTTTTTGTGGTTGGTTCGCCATTTTTATATTCTAAAATAGTTACTCTGTATGTGTATCATGTCTAAATTCATTGTGCAGTTAATCAGTTAATTGCACAATAAATGTATTGTGTGTCAGGGGTCTAAGGAAAAAAAAATCACATTTCGTGGGTTGTTGCTTTAAGTGCCTGGCTTTTTATCCTCCTTATTTCTGTCAAGGTTGGAATTGAACTAACATTTGCTTGAACTAAATCAGGCTTAATAGCTGCTTTTTTGTTCCTTTGAGCTAACCAGCCCATGCAGACAGTATTTGGCTGCTAAGCCTTTCATTTATCTTACCTGCTGATGTGTGGTTTAATCCATGTGTTTGAGCGTGAGGCTTGTGCCTATGCGGAAAGCCCAACTCTGTAAACACGACTTCTAATTGTTCTTCCTCTTTTGCTTCTCTTCTTCTGAGTAGCTCCATGGAAGGAAGGGCAGAGTCCAGCAGAGACAGATCCAGCAAAGTGCATTGGTACAGTCATGCCCCACTTGCTTCCTGCTCCACCTAAAGTTTAAAGCCAACTGCCTGGCAGCAGCAGTGACATTTCTATTCAGGCAGCCCTGAGGGAGTCAGATGACTTAATGCTCATTAGGATCTATCTGATTCCTAATCACTCTGCACTTTACAGGTGTTAATGACACCTTTCCCTTTTTAATGGTCTTGATGTTCCACAAATCAGGCTATCCTTTCTTTGGCAACTTTGCTGTCTCGTTAGCTATATGTGGGTTCTCTTCATGTAATAAAACACATACTTTTAAACTAGAGGCCTTTATACTGTCATTTTAGGATTTTGTATAAACATACTGAAATGCATAGCATAGTTCAGGGGTCAGTAATCAATGGCGTGTAGGCTGGCTCCATCGTGTGAAGAGATTTCATCCAGCCCACCTAGCTAGATAATGACATAATTACAGCCTTGCTCAGAGTGAAGATGTGCTTGGCTCATATAGATCACAATTTTTAGTCAGTATCTACCTGAGTTGACACTGGTGCAGCATCACTGGTATCTCTTCCTTAGGCTCATGCAAGGACACAAAGGAAACAGCTAAATTGTTTCCTTTGCCCTGCACATTAAAGGCATAGGATAACATGAAGAAAGCAGGAATGTTATTTCTCAGAGTTTTGAAAGTTAGTATCAGAAGCCTGAACACAATACAGAAGTAGAAAGAACTCTAGCAGCAGTGTTGCTTATGTCTTTTACAAGCAGGGAGAGAGAAAGATGACTTGAGAAACAGCATTTTGCATATGATTGTGGGCAGTGAGTTGTTGAGCACAATCTAGAGATAAAGTTATTGCTGCTGCAGAAGTGGAGATGAGTGAGCGATGAAGAAGGGATGGACTTTAGAGAAGTTGCTGTAAAGGAACAAGCAACAAAATTCATGGTTGCCTGAAGGTACTGGAGGAAAACTAGAGTCTAATCAGAGTGGTAGGACAGTGGAAACAACAGTGAGAAGACTGAGAGCAGAGTTGATCATTCACCATGCTGAGTTGTTGTTCGGATATACAAGATAACTTGTCTTGACAGGTGAGCAAGGTGGGAGCTGTGGAAGGAGTTGTCATACAGCTGGTGACTGAGGCCACGGAAACATGTGAGGTCATCTCTGAATAAAGGTTAAAGGAGAAGAGGACCCCAAGGATAATTGAGGGGAGAGGGGGAGTGGGGGGTTAAGCTATGTGCTACAGAGCTAGAGGAAGTAACTACATGCCTTTTGGCCTCATCCTTGGTTTATAACAAGGCTCTCCACCTTCTTGGGCCCAGTTTACTCAGGGTTTGCATAGATCCAGGCTGGCCTCAAAATGCAACCACAGGGGCTGGCTCCATTCAGGATTAAAGTTAACAGGTCCCTTTAACTTCCCTGATAGCATGCCATGAGACAACACTGAGACCCATTACTTTCTCCTTGCCCAGGGCTTACTAGGCCAGTGGTGCTCCAGCTTCTGGCCCTGTGGGCCAAATGAGTGGTGGAGTTGGTCTAAGGACCAGATTTAGTCCTATGACTCAGGACCAGGTCCCACGTTGCCTCCGCCCAGCCCTGCACACCTGGATAGGGTTCTGTCTAGTTTCAGCTGGTCCCCTTGTGCCAGGATAAGGCCCTTGGGCTTGGCATCACCCCTGCCCAGTGTTGTATCTTTGGATTGGGCCCTTGAGCCCTGCATGCTGTGATCAGGCCTGGGGCCTACCGCCTGTGCCACCCAGCTCCATTCTAGGATCAGACCCTGTGCACCTGATCTAGCATGCAGGGCCAGGGGCTCCTCACACACCTGGAAGTTTGGCAGCAGGGGAGCAGTACCACTGGTCCCCTGCTGCTGAATATTTGGACATGTGAGGAGCCTCATGGGCTGGATGACACTACACTGGGGATTGAACACCCTTGCCACAGGGGTTGAACACCCCTGTAATAGGCAATGTTATGCTCTTCTTCTATCCCAAGACCGAGCAGCTGCTGCCTCGTACAAGCTCTGCCACCAGTCCCTCTCACCTGTTTTCATCACCGTGCACCTAAACCATACTACCCTCCTCCACTGCTCCTCCACTTCCATATACAGTCCAGCAGCCCGTTTTTTGCAGAGCCCTGTGCACAGTCCTCTGCACATTCCACCTTCTCCCAACCCCACACAGAGCCCCACAACCTTCATATCTTATGAACCACTTGCCAGGCACTTGGTAGACACATACCAAGCTAGGTCTGCACATGCTAGCTCTGCAACTGGAAGCAGTATAGCTGTGTTCACTGTGACATTTCTGACAGTCTGAAAAGGGAGCCCATTTAATAAACCTTTCTTTTCAGACGTATGGTGACAATTAAAGCAGTTTATTTTAGCTTATGTAATGTGTTAAATAATTTAAAAACACATTTTAGTATATTTTAGTTCCCTTTGCGTTATTGAATCTGTGTGGCTGAATTGAATGCAGATCAGCTGGTTGAGAATCTAAATTGCTGAGCTTTTAAATTCTTGACGAATTCTAATTTTAGAGGCTTATTTTTGTGGACCACTCCAAATACATGACTGCTAACTGACTAACCTAAGCATAAAGACTGATTTCCAATTTACATTCTCCACATTTCTAAAGTTGTTTTAAAATAGAAGAAAATAAATGCACAACAAAATGCTGTTTAAGAGCTAAGAACCTTGTCATCAGTTAAGTAGTTTAATTTAACCAATACTTTCTGTAATTATATATGCATTAAAATGAAATGCACTTTGTTGCCAGTAGAGGTAAAATATTTCTTTAAAAGTCTTGTACATCATGTACTTTAAAAATTACTTGCTTTATCTCTAGGAAATCTACATGAAGAGAACATTAGGGACCTGCAGTTGATACTTAACCAAAAAATGCCATATTAAGGCCATATATGAAACTTTACTTCTTCCCCCTTGCGTATGTGTTATAGTCTCATTTGTCAGTTATCAAATAATATGCTTTAATGCTTTTATGCATGTTTAGAAATGTTCCAATGGGGAAAAAATAGATATAATTTTGAAGATTTTGGTGATGCATATGCTGCGTTAAAGTTGTATAATATAACCAAAAGGCTGATGTTTCTGAATTTATAGAGTGGTTAGCTGTGCAGCTTTAGGTTTGTTTTGTTTTTTATGGAATATGCTTCTCATGGTAGGAACGATATTCCTAGAAATAAGTAAGATTTATTTTTCTTGCTTGATTGATCACTTCTTTTTCCATAGTTCGTATCTGTTAGTCAAACCCACCTGGTTTTGGTAAACTGTTAAACTGTACCGGGCTTTGAAAGTTATGCTTATTTAGAAAGACAGATGCATCTTTTTCCTCCCTCTGTACATCCCATTAATTTTTTACTCCTCTGTCTCACATAGGTTCAGATTTGTTCATAAGTCTCTGTGGTAAGCTTCTGTTAGGCAAGATTTAGTTTTTATCCACAACTAATAGTTATTAATAGTAGTCCCTAATGGGATCCTAATCCTGAAAGGGCTCTTTTGTTGTAGGTCTTGGATTGATGTACAGAGACCATTTTTGTACCTTGAATATCTTCAACTTGAAAAACTTCTATTGTGGAGATGTCCTCCCTAGAGTTGACAGAAGTTGAGTGAAGAGTAGAAATCTTCTGATAAGGATTTCTTTTTTCATTAGGTACTTATAATTAACAAGTTTTGGTTTTCAAACCATAATCTTCTTGTTTTTATAGGTTGTGATTTGAATTTTGGATGAAGCTATATATCTAACTGGACGTCATGAGCAGAAGCAAGCGTGACAACAATTTCTACAGTGTAGAAATTGGAGATTCTACCTTCACTGTACTGAAACGATATCAGAATTTAAAGCCTATCGGATCAGGAGCACAAGGAATAGTGTGGTAAGGTTCCTTTACACAAAATTAGAAGTATGATAGTTTATCACATGCTACTGAAAGGCATTGGGTAGTCTGTGGGCTGGGGATTGATCAATATGGCTAAGTACAGACATTCAAAAAGCCTGAGCCTGAACTGATTGAATCTTTGCAGGTTAGTCTAAACTGTGTAGATTGAAATGAGCCGCAAGTGAAATGACATTCATTTTTTATTCTGGAAATGCAGCCACATGCCTACAGTGGCTCAGACTAGAAGCTGGAGGACACTAGAGTGAGCCTCCCTTCCTTTCTGCAGTGGCCAGCTGGCTGAAGGGAAGTTGAGCTGAGTGGAGTGTGACCAGGGAGCAGCAGGTGCTGTATGATTGGGGAGGGGTGAAACCCTGACCTTGGCCTGCATAGTCCCTAGCTGGGGTGTGCCTGGAGGGGGAGGGGGGAAGCAGCCCTTGCCAGCTTTTCCAGTGAAGGGGGAGCATGACCAGACCTCAGCCCCTGGCTGGCACTGAAGGATCAAGCAGCGAGAGCTGGGGCATGGCCGGACCTTGGCCCCATGTCTGAGGCAAAGGGGAGAAAGGGGCATGAGTGACTGGTGCCTCCTGAATCTGGGGGGTCACCTGCAGAAGCTGCCGATGGCGGCGGCCCTGTCAGGGGGGCACCAGCCCTACCGATAGCATCAGTGTCGGCCATCAGGGCAGGCACCGGTCCCATCGGGGGGGGCATGTGCACCCCTGTGCACCCCCTATCAGTCACCTATGGAAAGAGGGGAGGGAATCACAGAGAAGCAGAGCTGGCGGGGGCCTCCAGAGGTCCTCTAGTATCTAGTCCAGCACCTGGCTGAGCCCTGGCCAGACCCCTTCCATGCAAGCACAATCTAAAGAGCAGAGGGTTTACTTGCAGCATCCACAACTAAGAACACCTGTCAGGGGGGCTTTGTACTGCTGGGGAAAAAAGCCACCAAGGGCTTCCTGTGACCAGTTCCCCCTTCCGCTCTACAGCGGGCCCAGAGCTGCACCCCTCTAGCCCTGAGGTAGTGCCACACAGGGCTCCCCTGCCCCGGCCCTGTGGCAGGGGAGGAAGTTGTGGGGGAGAGCCATCTCCACTGCAGTGACTCTGTGACAGCCCAACCCAGTCTGGGTGCTGGGAGCAAACCAGGCGCACAGCTCCCATGGCCCCAGCCTGAGCCACAGCTGGCTGGGACGGGCCTTGCCCCCGCAGCCTGGCCCAGGCCCTCTGCGCCCGCCCTCAGCAGCACCCATGGGCCCAGCCAGCCCAACTCAGCTCAGCTTAGCCCTACAACCCCAGCCTCGGGCAAGGCAGGTTGATGGCAGGGCCAGGCCGTGGGGGCAGGGCTCTTCCCAGCCAACTGCAGCTCAGGCTGGAGCTGTGGGAGCTGTGTGACTCGATTGCTCCCGGCTCCAGAGCTGGAGGGGTACAGTGCTGGACCCCGCTGTGGGTCAGGAGGGGAAACTGGCCACAGGAAACCCTTGGTGGCTTTTTTTCCCCAGCAGTACAGAGGGTGGGTGTTCTTGGTTGTAAGCAAATCCTCCATTCTTTAGATACTATTTGTACAGACATTCGGGAGGTTAAATTTGGTTCAAAATGGCTGCCTGATTTAAACTTAACTCGTCCCAGTACTGACCTTACACTTACATACCCTGGTTTCAGTGACCAGAAATCAGTCTAAACCTGTAACTACAGAAATTCTATATACAAAAACCAGTCTAAAAATTGCAAAACATGGTGTAAGATAAACTTGTATCTATGTAGTTTCAAACTTACTCAGTTAAGGTCAAACCGGTGCATGGAACTTCTGTCCACTTTCCCTGCGCAGCTATGGAGCTGGGAAAACCCAGCCATTGGCTCCAGCCTCAGGGCTGCTCTTTTCACCCTGGCCTCCCCCGTGGGATATTTTTTGCTGCCCTTGGCCCAGCTAGCCCTCTCAACTCCCATCCCACAAGCCCCTCTGGGTGTAGTCACTTTTATCAGCGTTTGCTGCTGCCAGAGCCACGCAAGTCCCAGTGTGGGAGGGAGCAGGAGGGATGGGGGTATGGGTTCACTGGGGGAAGGACTGGGAGTTAAAAGTAGCTCCTGATACTCTCAGACCTGCCATGGGCCCCACTAGACACTCCCCAGTAAAACCCTGTGCATTGTGCCTGCTCTACTCCCCACCCATGGAACACACTCCTTCCCACCCTACCTGTGGGTCGTGCCTTCCCCCCACCCTTTGTAAGTTGTGCCTGCCACCCCTACCCTACCCATAGTCACGCCTACCCCCTCACCCCTTGCAGGTCGTGCCTGTCCCTCCACCTCGCCCACACGTCATGCTTGTCCACCTACTCCACCAGTGGGTTGTGCCTGCCCCCCCCACCCCTTGTGGATCGTGCCTGTCCTCCCACCTCACTCACAGGTCATGCTTGCCCTTCCATCTGCCCCACGCGCAGGTTGTGCCTGCCCTCATCTGCTGACACACCCTCAACCCCTCTAGTCTGGACCCCCCTGCTAGCCCCCGCCATCCTGACTTACCTGATATTGGGCAGCCATTTTGAACTGATATAACTTCTCCCTAATGCCTCTGAATGTCTGTACTTAGACAAATAGTAATAGCATGCATTTCCCTTTCCTCTACAGCCCAATCAGTGCTGCTTACTGTTGATCTAAAACTTCCCCTTCCATTTAAGGTCCAATTCCCTTCAATGCACACATGTCTAGCTATGCAGTTAGTCTGTAAATTTGGGCAACCACTAATGGGGAAAGGCTAAATGGGGCAAAGAAGTTAATTTTTTCCTGTAATTTAAGGAATTTAAGCTTTTTTGGGCTAGGGACAGACATTCAAAAAGCCTGAGCCTGAATTGATTCAGTCTTTGCAGGTTAGTTTAACCTGCAAAGCTTGAACCGATTTGGAGGTGGATAGACATTCCCTTTTCATTCCAGAAATGCAGGCACATGCCTGCAGTGACTCAGGCTAAAAGCTGGGGGAGGCTAAAGCAGCCCACCTTTCCCTTCCACAGAACTGAGCTGAGGGGGTGTGTGGCCAGGCTTTGGCAGGACGCTCTGACTAGGGAGGGGTGTATACCCCCACCCTGCCTGCACCATCCCAGGCTTTTCCCCCACTTGCTGCTGAAGGGGGAGGAGTGTTGCCAGCCCCCAGCCCCTGGCTAGTACTCTTGAGGCAAAGGGGGTGTGTGTAGTGCATGCATGTGTTGATGATACTGAGCTTTTCAACCTCCCTCCCCCTGTCTGCAAACCTGACAGGACTGCAAACCAGCAGGGGGCCGATA